TCTAACTGCATTTATTTTTGTTTTTACTCTAGTTGATTGGTCGTCCAGTGATGCCTCCATACTGGGCCTTGGGATTCCAGTTGAGTCGCTATGGATACCAGGATGCTACTGAAATCTCCGATTTGTACGATGAGATGGTGGCAGCACAGATTCCCTATGTATGTAACTTAGCCTGCGGTTTCACTAGTTCTGAGCATTCTTGGCTAATTGTATGTTGAAAACAGCTTCATAGAAATTACTACTGAGATTACTTCAGTATAAACAAATGCAGCTGCAGAGCTATTCCTATGTGAAATACATTGTTCATTAAACTCATTTCCTGTTACACTTTAATCAAGGTTCAAAATCTAGAGTGCATATGTCCTTCAGCAGTTAGTGGTGTGATTTGAGGAAGCTGGCACTCACTGTCCCTTGTCAGGAATATCCTGCAGTGGCCATGGCTGTGTGTAGGCCACAACTCTAGGGGTTTAAAGAGAGAATTCTGGAGAGATGAGAGTAAAATGATGATATGCAAGAAAGCAGTTAAAATAAAGCCTTCACTTTCTCTGAAACATACATACACACATACCATATCCTATAATGACAACCTAGTTACTCAGAAAAGTTCCAAGAAATGTCAACGGCAAAATTCTACAGATAGCATGCTCTTTTTCTTCTCATAATGAATTAATAATGATCATTAATTTTCTTTTTCTGCTTCCAATTTACCTCCTGAGATTTTGGAGGACTAGATTGACAGGTGAGAATAAGATAAAATGCTGTGATGTTTTTGTCAAAGATAATTTGACTCATATATCCAAGGCTTTAAATATATATACATATATACTATTTATACTACAAAGTTATTAAATATAAATGAGAAAAATTATAAAATAAAAATGTCCATTGATAATTTTTTTTTTTTGGAGAGGTTTTTTTTTTTTTCGTTATAGGGCGTGTGTGCTCACTGGAAAGACATAGAAAGACAGAGAGACAGAAAGTGAGAAATTACCCCCCCAGGGGGGATGGCCACGCCACAATCCCTTCTCCTCCATTCTCCTCTTGGGATCTTGGGCACGCAT